CCACCAGAAGTTGAAGAGGCAACGATTCTCCCCAGAAGGAACCAGACTTGCTTCAGCCTCAGAAGCCTCATTTTACCCCGAGGCCTCGTGCATGTAGGATACTACATTTGGGCTGTTTGGTGGTGGCACCGTGTTTGTCGTAGTAGATATTTGTTACAGCAGCCACAGGAGACTCGTACGGTCACCACTTCCAAACTGAATAACGGTTACCCCCAAGGGACAGGGTCTGCGGGGAACAGGAACTTTTATCCTTGCCTTTACCTTCTGTTGTTGCCATGACCACAAAAATCATATATCCCTTTCATAATTAAGGAAAAAAAGGAGAGAGGCTGCAAGCAGAGCGTTTGACCCTTGGCAGGGGCAGCCAGGGCTGGGACTCCAGTGGTTGTCAGGCGGGCATCCGTTTTATCCCTTTACACCTGTGCCTCCCCTGCGGGGCCCTCAAAGCTGCCTGGAGAGCCTGGAGCCAGAAGGCAGCTGGGCTGCTCTGTGCTCCTCCAGCCAGAGGTCTCGCCTACCTGGGGCCTCAGTGCAGAGTCTAGACTGGGGAGCAGCCCCCCCCCACCCCTGCTGAGCTCTATGGCCGGCACACCTTGCATCCTGAGACCACCAGGAGCACTCAGGCGCGAGTACCTGAGCTGGGGTGGGAAGGAAAGTCTCCCGCTCTCACACCATAGTCCCTCCCCCACGGGGCAGGGCCGCCCCCCAGCCCTTACCACCTGCCCCCCACGGCCTGGGTGCAGCAAAGGTGAGTGTGCAGCTGGGGTGCGGGTGCCCTCCCAGGAGCGGAGTGCTCAGTGTGGCCCTGGTGCACCCGGGGGCGGGGGAGGGGCGAGCCGCCTCTGACATCGCTGCTTCCTGGGGTGACTCCCTCCACTCCCTTCTGGGTGGAGGTCCAATGCGGAGCTGCTGCTACTTGGCTGCCATCTCCATAGCAACGTTCATGTGGATTTCATAGAACACAAGGTGTTGGAGCCGGAAGGGACCTCAGGGATCAGCTCCTCCCGCCCACTCATTTTGGGGAGAGTGGAGCAGGTCCAGAGATGCCACATTCCCCGGGTCCCACGGGTATCTAGTTGGGGCCTCTGCCTGCTGGCACCATCCCCGGCCAGGGTTTCCCCCACCCCAAGACTGCAGAGGGCTGAATCCCCTGGGACTGACTTTTGGGAGGTGCTCTGGGGTCACAGGACTTGGCAGCCTTGTCGCTCCCCCACTCTTTACTGACCGACCCTAAAGTCCAGCCTGGCCCTGTCCTGCTCACCTAGAGCCCTCTCCGTGCCTGGTGGAGGCAGGCGCAGGCAGGATGGGTGCTGTCCTCGGAAGCCCTGAGCGCCCACACGAGTGGAGCACCCACAGGAGTGGGGGCGGGAGGAGCTGGGAAGGCTCCTTGCCTGGGTCTGAGGAGGGGGCTCAAGTAGAGCCTGGAAGCTCAATGAGGGCTCTTGCTCCTGCCTGGGGTCTGTGGGTGAGCGCAATATGGGGGCAAAACTGGGCATCATGGAAAATGGGGCTCTGGAGAGAGACAGCCTCAGGCTGTAGGTCCCAGAGGGTTGTCGTGTCTGGGGACTCATGACACGCGTCACTCCAGGACAAAGGGGCCAGACACCCACAAGGGCAAATCAGAGGGCAGCAGGCAGGGCCGGGGAATGCTGGGGTGCTGGGGTGAGGATCCAGAGTGAGGCTGGAACGGATCTGGGGTTGCTCTATCTCCTCGCAGAGACACAGGTGTAGGCCGGCTTTGTGTCTCCAGCGGAGCCGGCCCTATGCCAGAAGGGTTGGGGGCTGCAGGTACCCCGCCCCCCCCCCCCACTCAGCACTCTAGCTCAGCCCAGCCATCTGGGCATCTGGGGTCTAGCCAAGGCCACCCTCCTGACCTTTCCTACCAAGCTGGCCCTTTCCCTCCCCCCAGCCAGCAGCCTGTCCTTGTTGTCTATTGCTGTGTAAAGAAAAAAAATCCCCCCAATGCTCCCGAATCTGCAGTTCGGGCCGGGCTCGGCAGGGACAGTATGGAATCCTCCCGGACCAGAGTGCCCAGGCCAGCGTGACTTCCTGAGTCTACAGGCGGCTTGCGGGCTCCTCTCCGCCTGAGATTCTTCATGAGGCTTCTTGGGCTTTTCCCCAGTGTGGCAGCAGGGCTCCCAGAATGTGTGTTCAGGAGACAGGAAGGAGTTGCCAGTCTCCGAGGTCCAGGTCCAGAAATGGACATGGGGTCACTTCTGCTGTATGTGTTGGTCAGAACAGTCACAGAGCCAAAGGCAGGGGACAGAGGCCTCCTGCTTGATTGGGAGGGGCAGCAAAGAACTTGCTGTCCTTCGTGTGCCTGGGCACTCCACTGTCTCTGCCCCATGGGCTCTGACTTTCTTGCCTCACCTCCAGGCCTGCAGAGTCTGTATTTCTTGGAGGTCTCCTCTGTCCCCATCCCCCCCACCTCCGTGACTGTCACCCCCTCCTACTCATCTCCTGTCTATAGGCTGCACCACGCATCCACTCTTCTGCACCCTCTGTACTCCTGTAGCAGGCCCTCTGTTGCTTTGCTCAGGAACCATGTGTGGCTCCCTACTTCTCGCCGAATAATTTCCAAGCGCCTAAGCTATACGTTCAAATTCACTTTATACTTTAGCCCTCTCCTGTGTTACAGGCTGGATTTCCTCCACACAACTGGACCACAGTTTGGCCTCTTCCGCTCAAAATGCCCACTTACTGTCACTGGGAGCTTGCAAGTTTCTCTTCCTCTTCTTCTATTGGACTCCTGTTCAACCTTCAAAGCCCAGAACAAATGCCTCTCCTCCCCGAAGACCTGCTCTCAGTACCTGATTATACAGGCCTTGCCTCACTGCACATTGCAGCACATTCGGCCTCAACCTTGTGTGAGCAATGACGTGTCCTCCTGAAGTGGGGCCCATTTCTAACTCATATTTCTTTCACCAATTTAGTAAGTTTATTGAGGCCTGGAGCCAGCTGCCAGGGATATGGCAGTGACCAAGACAAGCTGCTTCCTGTACCCAGAGAACTTACACTCCCGAGACTGAGACAGATGGCAAACAGAGAAAGCAAGGGACATAATGATCAAAGATTAGGAGGAGTGCTGGAAGGCAAGAGAGGCAAGAGGAATGCCGTGATCCAGGGACCTAGAACTCTCTCTCTTTTTAAATTTTTTTTTGAACTTTCTTTTTTTGAAAGAAATCAGAGACCTAGGTTTTTTCATGTATTCTCCTAGTTTCAAAGGTTTCGAGTTTCAAAGTATTTCTCCTCTGCTGCTCAGCTTCCCTCCTCTCCTGGCTCCCCATGGTCTCTGAAATGCCTGTCTCCTCTTCTCTTCCTGGTCACCCCATTAGCACTAGCCCTCACCCTTGACAGAGGCTGCCTTCCTATAGCCCCCACCCCTAGAGCACTCAAACTCCTTCTGGTTTCCCTTGGGCAGGGGGAAGTAGGGAGCCCAATGCCTAGGACGTGGGGTCAGGGGGTACTGGCTGAGACCCTGGGCCAACCACCCTGAAATTGGCCTTTTGGAGCATAGGACACCTGGAGTCCCCAGGGCCCCGGCAGTGGGAGCTCAACACCCCCACCCCCAGGCCCTCTACCCACACAAGTGGGCATTGGCCAGGAAGGCGGTGGGGGTCAGAGGAGACAAGAAAGGAGGCCAGGGGGTCCTCAGAGGGCTTCCTCAGGTTTGTCTCCCAGCTCCCGAGGACTCCCGGGCCAACCCTGCCAGGGAAGTTCATGTTCTCTGGAGCGAGTTCCCAGGTACAAATCCCGGCTTTGTCACTTTCTAGCCTGGCGATCTTGGACAGCTCCCATCTCCTCTCTGGGCATCAGTTTCCCCACCTGATCCTGGGATCACAGCACCACCCACCTCACACGGTGCTTTTGAGGAAGACTTGTGCCTGACACACAGTGATACGCAAGAAAGGCCAGCTTCCCACGGCCCATCCCACACAGGGCCCCGCCAGACCCTGAGCCCTAGAAGCCCCAGCTTCCATCCATTTCCATTATCGTTATTTCGGCTCTGGGAATGCCAGGGAGAGGGCTCAGGCCTCTGAAAGGGCTCATGTGACAGGTGTCATATCTTGGGGGCACAGCCAGCCCATCCCTCCAGCTGCCAGAGGAGCGTGCAGCAGAGGCTGATCCCAGCACTGCCCAGAAGCACCTACACCTGCTGCTCCGGGGCGTCTAGGCTCACCACTCCCCAGGTTCCAGGACCATCTCAGCCTTATTCTCCAGACCCAGAGACCCGTGGGTGGAAACAGACAGTCCAGTGGAGGTGTCAGGCTATGGAGACTGGTCAGCCAGGGACCAGCATGGGGTTCAGACAGTCAGCACTTTGGCCTCTTCGGGGCGGTCAGAACGGGGCACCAGAAGGTCAAGGGGCTAGCCACATCCTGGGGCGGGGCCTATCGCCTCCTCCTCCTCCCAGACTCCCAAGGGCACAGCTCCAGGGGAGCGGCCCCTCAGAGGGCGGGATGCGGGTGTAACTCGGATTTCCCTTCACCCGAGGATCCTGGGGCTTCAGCTCGGTGGGCAGCTTGGGGGAAGAGCGGCCTGCGGCTCTCGGTTGCTGGCTTGTCCCGCCTCTGGTAACCAGCTGTCAGCTGAGCCGAGCGCCGGGAGCACCCAGTTTGCTTCCTGCCCTACAGGGAGAAGTGGGGGCACAGCAGGCCAGGTGGCGTCTCTGGCTGAGAAGGGCCAGAACCCCCAGGTGTCCGCCCCACGCAGTCCCACTGCCTCAGAGCCCCCGTCCCAGGCCCAGGGGCCATCCCGGGAGGGTCCCCAGGCGAGGGGCAGTGCAGGGAGGGGGCCGCGGAGCCAGGGGCAGAGGCTCCCCACCCCGCGCACCTGGGGCAGTGCCCCGGCCCCGTGACCCCGCCCCCGGACGGCCTGCTCATTTGCATGCGCCCGCCCCCGCGCGCCCATTGGCGGAGGCGGAGGGAGGCCGGGCCTGAGTGGCTGCGGCGCGGGGGCGGGGCTGCGGGCGCGGGGCGCGGGGAGCCGGGCGCCCGCGATCCCGCCGCCGTCGCTGCCGCGGGACGGGCTCCGGTCCGGGTCGCGCTCGGCGGGCGCGGGGAGCAGGGCGGCCCGGGGCGCGGCGGCTGCAGCGGGAGCTCCCTGAGCGCCCGCCCGCTATGTCCAGGAAGAAGACCCCCAGGAGCAAGGGGGCCAGCGCGCCCGCTGCCTCCGCGCCGCCCGCCACCAACGGGTCCCGGCCGGAGCGCCCCATCGGGCCCCCGCCGCCCGCCCGGCCCTCGCTGGGCGGCGGCGACTTCTACAACGTCGCTTTCAAGGTGAGCCGGCCCCCACCCATGCGAGCGCAGCAGGTGGCGCTGGGCCCGAGCGGGGCGCGGAGGGGTCGGCAGGGGACGGAGGGCCCCGCGGGTCCTGGGCCGGGAGCCCGCCCGAGCGGCGCCCCGCAGCTGGCACAGCGCATCGCGTACAGCACAGCTGTCAGACCCGGATTTCAGGGAGCCCACGGCTGGCAAGGCCTGCCCCCTGACGCCCCAGCTGGCGGCGGGACAGGGGGTCCGGACCTGGCCGGGGCTCCCTCCCCGCTCCCTATGCCGCCGCACCCACCCGGCCCCCGGCTCACCGTATCCCATATGCTCCCTTCCCTCACCCCAGGGGCTGTAGGTCTCCTCTTTTTGGGGGAAGGAGGAGACTAGGAAGAGGTCTGCCAGTCTGGTGGGCAACACTGGGGCCTCCTTCGGGCCTAGGCAGATGCCTTTGGATTGTGGAGGGGTTGTGGGGACTGTCTTTGGGTTTTGGGGCCTTTGACAACAGGCTGGGGGAGGGGTGGAGGAGGGGGGCCCTGATTGCCGTTCCTTGTCCCCAAACCAACCTGGGCACCTGCGCACGCCAAGATCTGACCTCACGTGGCAAATTCCTCCAGTCTTACTGGGGTTAGAATAAGCCCCTTGGCACAGTGACCCCCAAAGGCCTCTCAGAAGGTCCCCAGCCCCCAGCCTCTGCTCCCCGCCAAGCCCCAAACGCTCCCCTTCCAGATCAAGCACGGTGTACAGGGCCTGGGGTGAGGTTAGGTAGGGCCCTGGAGGGAGGCAGCTGCCCCCGTTCCCCACTGATGGAGAGAGAGGCACAGAACCTTGTGGAGGTAGACCTGGAGGCCCAGGCCGTCAGGGATCCTGGCTGCCCCAGCGCTCCCACGTCCTTCCTGCGAACCTGCAGGCCTGGGACACTTCTCCACTCCTGCCCAGGCCAGCTCAGGAAAGAGTAGACAGCCTGCTGGGCGGGCCAGCGCCTTGGGCCCCTCGGTCCCTAACACCTGACCCTCCCGCTCGCTCTAGGTAATGCTGGTGGGGGACTCAGGCGTGGGGAAGACGTGTCTGCTCGTGCGCTTCAAGGATGGGGCTTTCCTGGCAGGGACCTTCATCTCCACCGTGGGCATCGACTTCCGGGTGAGAGCAGAGGCTGATGTCCTCAGCGCTGAGCTGACCCAGCTGTGCCCTGGGCCCCTGCCACCAGCTCACGGAGTTCTGACAACACCCCTGGGACACCCACAGGCTCATGGCGGGGGCAGCTCCTGCCTGCACCACCTGGCTCTCAGGCTCGGGGTGGTTGAGGTGGGATGCCTGGAGATGGGTGATGGCTGCATCTGATTGGAGCAGGGGTGGCACCCAGGTGCCTGGGGCTGTATTCTGAGCCTCCGGGTGCCCTGGGTTGCAGCCATCAGAGGGAAACTCAAGGCCTGTGTTCACCTGGGAGGCTAACGTCACAGCCCCACCATACACAGGTGCCAGGCAGCCTGCAGAAGGACCTGAGCTGGGGGGAGGTCTCTGCCCTTGGGCGAGGAGGCTCACAGGAAGTGCTGCCACCTGGCTGTTCCCCCTGCCAGAGCCCCCTCCCATACTGCCCCCAACAGGAGGGCTGTGTCCCTGGGTTTCAGGGCTCCCCACACTCCGACACCCTAACAGCCTGTGGGGTTGGCAAGGAATGATGAGGGCCATAGCCTTAGGCCTGTGGGGCTCCAGCATCTGAACCCCCACCTCTACCCACCAAGTCTGAATTCTGAGTGCCTTGCCAAGGTGCTGGTATGTTCTAGACAAATCCCAAATTTGCATTTTTCTCACCCTTTAATTAGACCCAGTTGGCGGGAGGCTGGGAGGGAGGCCCATCCTAGGAACGGAAAAGGGGCTCCCACCCGTCTGGGGGCCATTTACCCTGCTTGGGGGCCCAGGTCCTCTCAAGTCTTTTGAGATTTAGTAAGGGGTCAGGTGTCCGAAAGGCACAGTGTGGGGTGTGGACAGTTTGCCTGTACTGGCCCCACCTCCCCCCTCTAACCTCCCTCTTGGCTCTGGGGCAGGTGGTGGGGGAGGTGAGGCCGCTCAGTTCACACCCCTGCTCAAGGGTGCCAGTGAAGGCGGGTGTCCTCCCCAGCCTCCTCAGCCTGGCAGATGGCTGTGCCATTGGTTCCTGGGAGACCTAGAAGCACCCGGACAGCAGGAGATTGGGGAAGAGGGAGGTGGTGCCATTCCAGCTGCCAGGAGCCTCCGCTGGGGGTTAACAGGCCCCCACCCCCACCACAGCAGATGGGAACCGTGGGGTTGGGCCACTCCCTGCCACTAGCCCTGAGCTGGGAGGGCCTAGTGAGGGACCATGACCAGCCAGCAAACAAGGAGCACTCACTGCATACCAGGTAGTTTCGGGCTCTGTGGTTACTGCGCTGGGCCCTGTCCTCAGGGTGCTGCTCTCCCCTGGGGAAGAGAGGCCTTTATTTTAAGGTTTGTATTCATTCGTGAGACAGAGAAACGGAGAAACAGGCAGAGGGAAAAGCAGGTTCTCCGCAGGGAGCCCCACGTGGGACTGGATTCCAGGATGGGGGTTCACGCCCGGAGCTGAAGACAGATGCTCAACTGCTGAGCTGCTCAGATGTCCCAAGAGGCTTTTAAATTAGAACAGCTATCATCCTAGGCCAGATATAGTTCTCAATGCTCTGCGCATACTAGCTCATAAAGCCATTGAAACAGCCACGTGCTGGACGCCCTGGTTATCCCCATTTGTGGATGGGGAAACTGAGCCCCACGTTAGTAATGGGCCTGGGGTTACACCACAGTAACTTTAGATTAAGTTGCTCTGGGGGACTGAGCAAAAGGAGCAGCACATGTAGAGCTGTGAGGAGCTGATGGCCCATCAGGGGGGCTGCGGCGGAGGGTCTGTGGTCTGCCAGGGTATAGGGAGTGGGTGTGGTTGGCAAAAGGTGGGTGGCTGGGCCAGACCAAGATAGGTGCTGGGTAAGGGAAGGGAGGGCCAGAGCAACAGGACTCCGTGACTGAGATGGGTGGTGGCAAAGGGCCTATAAAGGCGGTAGAGATGGTGGGGCTGTGTGCCAGGCTTCAAAGGTGGGCAGAGAAAGCACACCTGGCCCAGATAACTGGCCATGAAGGGCAACCACCTCCCAAGTCCATTAGGATGGCCGTCAGAGTGGAGCGGCCAGGTGTCCTCCAGGCCCTGGGCACCAGAAGGGGCTCACCAGGGGGCAAGTGTAGGAGCTGCAGGGGTGGAGAGTGAGGGTGGGGAGAGCTGGATCTCAGGACTTGGGTTCCAGGGGAAGGCTTATTTGTAAGTACAGGGAGGCAAAGGAGTCCAATGGGAGAACCCAGCCAGCTGAGGGGCAGACAGGATTAGAGTGGGCCCCTCAATCTCAGGCTCTGTCCCAGCCTGCTGGTCTCCCCCCCACCGCGGGGGCCCTGTCCCCAGTTGCTGCCTGGGGCAGTGCTGGCGGCTAGGCTCAGTGGAGCTGGCTGGTTGTCTTTCAGAACAGTTTTTTTTTTTTTATTTTTTTATTTTTTTCAGAACAAAGTTTTGGATGTGGATGGCGTGAAGGTGAAGCTGCAGGTGAGAGATGGGGGTAGGGGTGAGGGTAGGTAGGAACACCGAGGAGAGACTGGCAGCCCAGACTCCTGATGTGCCTGTCGCTGCAGATCTGGGACACAGCTGGCCAGGAGCGGTTCCGCAGCGTCACCCACGCCTACTACCGCGACGCCCATGGTGAGCCTGTGGGCGTGGGATGCCAGCCCTGGGGGAAATTGGAGGCTATGCTCTGTGGGTACCCTGTTCCCCTGGCTTCTGCTCAGAGGAAGGTGCCCTTGGGATGCCCAGGTGGCTCAGTGTTTGGACACCTGCCTTTGGCTTAGGTTGGGATCCCGGAATCTGGGAACGGGTTCTGCACTGGGCTCCCTATGAGCCTGCTTCTCCTTCTGCCTGTATCTCTGCCTCTGTCTGCATCTCATGAATACATAAATCTTAAAAAAAAAAAAAAAAGGGGAAGGTACCCAGGGATTGAGCATGTCCTTAAGTGTAGAGGCTGTGATGCACGAGGGTTTGGGTGACAGGAAGCCGCTGTGTGCCCTGGAGATGTCCTCACTGGCCCTCTGCCCCCCAGCACTGCTGCTGCTCTATGATGTCACCAACAAGGCCTCCTTTGACAATATCCAGGTCAGTGGTTTCCTTCCTGGGGGGCGGGCAGAGGCTGAGGATCCTGGGGACAGTGGGGAAAGCTGGCCCCCCTGGTGGCTCAGGGTCCCTGTAGGCTGAACGGGGTCTGGGGACCTTCCAGCTCCATCAGTCCAGCACCTTGGGTAGTAAGGTCTTTGTCAGTGGTGCCTCGAACGTTCCAGGAACTGTGTCTGGGCCTGGCCTGGGAGTCTGAGCCTAACAGGCACTCTGCAGCACAGCCTGGAGGGACAAGGGACAAGTGCCAGCCTCTGGGCTGGTCTCAGCTTTTCCCCCACAGGCCTGGCTAACCGAGATCCACGAGTATGCCCAGCACAATGTGGTGCTCATGCTGCTGGGCAACAAGGTGAGCACCCCAGCCTGTCGTCTCCACCCTGGCTCTACAGAGCAGGTGTGGGGAGAAGAGGGAAGCCCTGGGCCAGCTCTCACCAAAACCCCTATGCCAGGTGGACTCTGCCCAGGAGCGTGTCGTGAAGAGGGAGGATGGGGAGAAGCTAGCCAAGGTGAGCCAGGGTAGGTGGGTGGCCGGGGGTGTCTGTCCCTGGGGCTGCAGGGCTGGGGCTGTCCCCACCAGGCTGGCAGCGGCTGTTTGCAGGAGTACGGGCTGCCCTTCATGGAGACCAGCGCCAAGACAGGCCTGAACGTGGATTTGGCCTTCACAGCCATAGCAAAGTAAGTCCTGGCACTCAGCAGGAGCCCTCAGACCCGGACCCCTTGTTGGGGTAGAGGCTTCTGTTCCACGGTCACCCCCACCCCACAGGGAGTTGAAGCAGCGCTCCATGAAGGCCCCCAGTGAACCCCGCTTCCGGCTGCACGACTACGTCAAGAGGGAGGGCCAAGGCACCTCCTGCTGCAGACCCTAAGCCTGGCTGGGCACTGCCACCGCACATCCTCTGGGAGGCCCCTGCAAGGCCGAATGGAGGGTCTACAGGGTCCCCCTGGTTTAGTCACCCCAGGGTGTCTGTTTCTTGGCTCCCAGACATACCGAGCCTTGCCTTTCCCAGAGCCTCAGTCCCAGTGGGCTTCTAGGAGCCACTAGGTCTGCAGCCCCCCTAACTTGCTGCTGCCCGAGGGCCTGGCCAAGGTTGGGCAGAAGAGCCGCGGTCTTCTGTACCAGGGTTGGGGGTGGGGGCTCGCCATGCACAAACGGTGAGGGGTGCCAGTCCCAAGCGGGGCGCTCTGCTGCCCCCTCCTGGACACGCCCAGCTCCGGAGCCAGGCCCCAGCGCCAGCACCACGTGTGCAGTGCCTAACCCCTTAGAAAGCCATGTCTTCAGCTGCACACTTGCCCAGGCAGGGTAAGGCAGGACTGCTGTCCACGCCTGGGGCAGAAGGCTTCGCCGCAAATCATCGCATTGTGCATTTGTGCCGCAAGGACCAGAGCCATCTGCTCCCAGCTCACCCGCCAGGAGACTCTGGTTCAGACATCAACGGGGTCTTCCTTCCACACGACCTTGAAGAACGCCACAGTTGTGGCTTTGTGATACAGAACAGCATGTGGGAAATCACAGAAAAGTCAGGGAAAACTGCCAGCCCCGGGGAGGCCTGTGCTCAGCGAGGGCAAGCCAGGGGGCTGGTAGCACGCTCCACCTTGTATGGAAATCTTCAAGTCAGTCTTTAGAATAAGAGCCTTTGTTTTCAGTTCTAGTGAATAAAGTTGTGTTTTCTGGACTGCTTGTCTCTTCTGTTGAAAGAAACCTGTCCTAGGCCCCTCAGCAAAGTATGGGTGGCCTTTAACACTCAAGAGTCCGCCCCAGCCCCCATCACTAGACTGCTTGGAACCCCAAAGCGGTCTAGAGAGCACAGGGGAAGAAACAGGACTCCAGCACCGGTTAGTGAGTTATTAAAGAGTTCCTGACCCACCCAAGCCACAGGCGAAACAAAAGGAACAACAACAAAAACCCGTTGTTTTTGCCCTTCGGGACAAGCATGGATTAGTCCCTGTACACACATCCCTCTCTGCCCTGTCTCAGGCCTGCCCAGGGGCGAGCAGGTTCCCCACCCGGTCCCCTGGGGTCAAACGCGCAGGAGAAGAAAGACACCTGCGCGCCCATTGACTCACCACCTTTATTGCTGAGCGCTTCAGATACAGACCTGGACTCTGGGTCAGGGCCTCCAGTCGGGTCACCCGCCGCCCTGGAAGAAAAGAGACAGCGTCCACATGGAGACAGAGCCCATTCCCGGCCTTTGGACAAGGCGCCCCCGGCCCCCTCCCGTCACCCAGGGCACGCCCCGAAGCCTCAGTTTTGCAAAATAATCAGACTGCACGTGCAGTTTTCATACGAGGTGTCAGAAATAAAAAGCGACTCATCACAGGCTCCAAGGGGCATAGGGGACAGCAGGCCCGGCCCGGCCTCACCTGCAGGGAGAAGTAGGTCTGGGGGGGTTCGCACCTTCCGCCGGGACGGGAGAGGCCAGGCCCCGCCGCAGGCTGGGGGAACCTCCCCTCGGACCCACCGGGGGCCCAGCGAGGACACGACCTCAACCCACGGCGCCCACGGGAAAGAATAGGAGGGCGCGAGGCTCAAGCCTTTATAGAAACAGCCCTACTGCTGCGATTGGGCCTTCCTGACGGAAGTACCGCCCCCCTCGCCGCTGATACGCTCCCGGCCCGAACAGAACCGTGAGCGACAGCTGCAAGCAGCCAATCAGACTCCGACCTGCAACATAGAGTGATTCTAAAGCTGCCAATCCCGCCCCTGACGTCAAGCCGCCGGAAGTCGTAGTTTCTGAGGAGCCGCGCGTGAGGCGGCCCCACGGACATTTGCGAGTCGGGGAACTACAAGTCCCGGCGGGCGCCGCGCCCGGGCGCTTCCGGCTCGCACGTCCTGTCCCTTTCCCGGCCGGCGGCCGCGGGGGCACGATGAAGCGGGAGGGTGGCGCTGCCGCTCCCCGGTGGCCGCGGGCGGGTGAGTGTCGGCGAGGCGCGCCTGGCCCGGGGCTCGTGCCTCGGGGCCGCGCGGGGGGCGCGTCGGGGCCCGCGGAGCGGGGGGAGCGGCCTGGGGGGCGGGGCGGGCGCGGGCCCGGGTCTCGCGCCGTCGTTGCTCGTTGCCTCCTCCCCGCCGCGTTCGTGGAGCGGCGCCGCGGCCCCGGTTGGCGCGGGCTTTGCTTCTCCGGCAGCTTTTCTGCGGCCCGCCGCTGTTGACACTGGGCGCCGAGTCTTCCCCGCCGTGCTTCGGTGGACGTGGAGCAGCATCCCCGGTCTCCACCCGCTAGATACAGGGGCCTCCCCCCCACCCCGTGACCACCCGGAATGCCTCCAGGCATTGGCAGGCGTCTCCTGGGGGCTCAAGCCGGTGATCCCGGGTGCGGAGCGCTGGACAGCACCCGCGGAATCCTGAGGAGTTGTGATAGGTGTCGTGGGAGAAGCAGGACGCTGGGGGGGAGCCCTGGGCGCTCCCACCGCCTTGGTGAGGGCGGAGGTTCCTCCCGCAAGCAGCCTGTCCTGGGAAGTTGCTGGAAGATCATGCCTGGCAGAGGGAGCAAGGTGTGCAAAGGCCAGAGTGAGGAGAAGGGGCCAGGTGCACCAGGGAGTGCTGGCAGAGGGGCGACAGGCAAGCCCCTGAGGCCGTCGCAGGGTGGCAGGGAGGCACTCAAGCCACGAGAGCCAGCGTCAGATCCAATTCTAGTAAGGAGCTCCTGGCCATGTGTGGAGGACGGACTGATGTTCCCCGGGAAGCAGGAGATGGTGAGGAGGCTGGCCTGTGCGTGAGGGACAGCGGGCTGGGAGGGGGCTCCCACCCCTCAATGGGTCTGCTGTCTTGACCAGGCAGGGGCATGCAGCTGGGGCTGAGCCTGCAGTTCTGGATCCCACCCTGCTTTGGCAGGACAGGGGTGGAGGCTAGGGCTGGGGATTCCGCCCTTTGCAGCCTCCTCTGCTTGGAGCTCCAGGCTGCCCAGCCTTCTCCCCATCCCACAGGCCTCCCCACGCGCACACAGGTCCCCTCTCCTGGTGTCTGCCCACCCCCCTGGCCTTTGCCAAGCATGTGGCCTCTCTCTTCCTCATTCCTTCTCTTTGGGCCCCTCCCTTCCCACACCCCTTCCCTGAAGGCCTGAGTAGCAGACACCACCTCTGTGTCATAAACCCCTACTTGCACTGCTCTGGGGATTCACGTCTCTCCATGGAATCCCCCAGCCCCGGTGTCTCGAGGTTCCTGTGTGGTATCTCTGCATTATCCCCCCGGCAGCCAGAGCCTCACTGTGAGGGGAAGCGGAGGTAGGTAGGGGCAGCCTGGATGAAGGAGGTAACCAGCTGAGAAGGAGGGGGAGTCCTCCTTCCTGAGGAGTCCCTGTGGAGTAACCCCCACTGTGGCTGTGGGTCATGGTATTTTTAGAAACCAGTGGAACAGACCAAAGCCTGCAGTATTGACTTAGCCGGGACAAGAACCCACAGAAAAGTGCCTACGGGGATCAGTAGTACTCTGGAGCCTCGTCCACCTCTCCTCCCAGGGCCCCCAGCAGCTCCAGCTCACATTCGCGCCCCCTCCCCAGCATGGGGACTGGGCCGTGGTGGCTGTGAACTTGGCCATGGGAACGGCAAGGCGCGATCCGGGAGATGGGAGCAGTGTGTGGAAGGGCCCGTGCTGGCTGGGGGGCCCCAGGCAGGCTGGGCGCCGTGGCTTGGTGGCTCGGGGCACAGCTTGGCCTGGGGCTGCCTGGCCTCAGTGACGGCGGGCTCCTCAGTTTGCTGGCAGAACAGAGGAAGCGAAGCAGGAGGAACAGGGCTTCGTTTGGCCTCCGCGTGGCCTCCTGCGGGCTCTAAGTCCTGGGATGGCCTCTCAGCTCCGTTTCCGGCTCCCGAGAGAGGCTGCTGTTGGTGGGGCCTTAGATGGTGCCTTGAGAAGCGTCTCTCACAGTTCCTTTTGTTTTTTTGTTTTGTTTTGTTTTGTTTGTTTGTTTGTTTTTAATTTTTATTTATTTATGATAGTCCCAGAGAGAGAGAGAGAGAGAGAGAGAGAGGCAGAGGGAGGCAGAGGGAGAAGCAGGCTTCATGCACCGGGAGCCCGACGTTGGACTCGATCCCAGGTCTCCAGGATCGCGCCCTGGGCCAAAGGCAGGCGCTAAACCGCTGCGCGACCCAGGGTTCCCTCACAGTTCCTTTTGGACGTGGGTACATCCACTCCATTTCGGGGCTGGGAAATCGAAGGCCCAGGAGGGTGAGCAGCTTGCCCAAAGTCACGCAGCTGTTGTGTGGCAGAGGTGGGATTTGAATCCAGGCCTGAGTCCCGCGCTCGTGGCCTTGACCGTGATGCTATTCCATCTCCATAAAGGACATTTGCAGGGGTCAGCGCGTGTCCAGCCTTGGGCGGTGTCGGCAGGACGTAACCTGCTCTGAACCTGGGTCCCCACTGGCCTGACCTTGCTGTTGGGTGGGCCGCTGGGGCTTCGCCAGGCGCTCAGGCTGCCTTAGGCAAGAGGGGCCCGCCAGCCCCCCGCAGCCGTCCTGTGTGCTCTGGCCCTGCGGCAGAAGGCATTGGTTTGCTCCGTGGAGGAGTGTGGGTCAGGCAGGCAAACGACAAAGGAAATGGGCCCCTGGGGTGGGGGGGGGCAGCTGGTGCTAATGTCACTCGGGGACCTGCTGCTTGGCCGCCCCCAGCAGGGGAGGCATGCTGTCTGGAAGTCTAGTTGGGGGGTGAGCCAACCCCAGGAGCCCCCAGGCAGAAGGAGCAGCCTTGCAGAACCAGGAGGGAAGGGATGTGCCGGGAGTGGGGTGGACTTCGCATGCACTCCTCGCTTCTGCAGGGAAGCGAGAAAGAGGAAGGCAGAGGGACAGAAACCGCATGGGGAGCGGTGAGAACCGGCCAAGTGGCCTGGAGGTGTAGCCTGGGCCTAAGCCACTGCTGGCCACTTGGCTCTTGGGCACAGGCCCAGGACCCGTCTCCACAGGTTTAGACTCGCTGATCTAAGGCAGCGTGGGACGTGCTGCAGCGTGGGACGCGCTCCCATTTGTACCCCTGCCGCTGGAGGTGGGCCAGACCCTGAGTTGGTGGGAGAGTGTGGGCAGGTAAGAGTGGGCCCTGCAGCCAGGTGCTGACAAATACCACCTTTTCCCAGAATGCTCTCTCCCTGCTCCGGATCTGGCCAGCCCCTTCCTCCAGGAAGCTCTCCAGGAGTACCCCCCAGCCCCGCCCCCCCAGGCTGAGTCTACAGCTTGTATGTGGCCATCCATCCTATGGGAGGGAAAGAGTTGGAGATGAGTCTGGCCCCAAGGGGCAGGTGGAAAGGCAGAGGCATTCCCCTTGCTGAGTGGGGGTTAGAGCCAGGCTGGCCCAGCAGGAGGGATGCTCTCCCTCCAGCAGAGGGGCCTGTGGGTGCTGGAGAGGCTGGGCCTGGATACCCAAGGTGAGAGGCCAGGCGGGGGTGTAAGGACCCAGCATCCCAGGGACAACCTTGGAGCTCCTGTGGATTAGGACTGTGGGTACAGAGACAAGGGTGGCAGGTGAGGGCAGGGAAGCCTGGCCGGCCTCGAGCCAGTGCCTGCTGAGGTGCTGAGGGGATCCCTGACATCACACCCTGCGTGTCTGGGATGGAAAAGACATGCCAAGAGGACGTCAGGGAACAGCAGGGGGAGTGTATGTGGCTCTGCTATGGCAACGCAGCCTGTTTCTATAGGATTTGGCTGCCCCGCTTGGGCTTGGGCCCGGGGGCCCTGGGCAGAGGCTGACCCAGGGGCTGGATGGTCCGTGGGTAGTACGGGGCCTGTGCCTGGAGCTCCGGCTGTAATCCAGCCGGCCACCCACAGCTCTGTGCCAGGCAGGGCTGCGGTGTCCTGAGTCACTGGTACTCCCCCCGGAACCGTCACCACCAAATGTCACCACCAAATGTGCGGCCTGATGGGGTTTCCAGGGCACGCCTACCCCTTTGCTGGCTCAGCACAGGCTGTTTGGGAGACCCTACCACGCCCTCCGCCTGGGGCAGCTGGGGGAGCTGCCTCAGGGTGGGGCTTGGCTCTAGTAAGACCTGCTTCGCCCCCCCCCCCCCACGGGATTCCAGCATGTGTACTGCTCACTCCACTGGCTGCTGGCCACACGAACCACGCTGGGGGACCAGTGTCCCACACTCCCAAGGGTGACACCTTAGCAGATCCCGATGGCTTCTGTCCAGGGCATGAGCTGGGGAGGGGTCCCCCAGAGAAGGGGGCTGGTGGGGGGGGCTTTCCCGGCAAGGAGCTAGGGGTAGGACCTTGTAGGTGGATCTCTGGTTCCCCCTTGGGCAGGGAGTGTACCCCAGAGCCCCAGAAGTCCTTTGGATACAGATGTGGGTGGACAAAGATCCCTGGGCCTTGACCCTAGGCTCACGTGAGGGGCTACAGGGGGGCTGGTTCTGCACTGACCCTGAGCGCACTTGGGTACCACGCCCCCCCCCACCTGAGGCAGACAGACCACCCATCTCCGCCGGGACTTGGGGTCTTGTGTCTCTAAGAGAATTCTCAGGTCCCTGCCCTGGGCTCTGCTGAGACACCTGGAAGAGGCAGGGTAGGGACCTGG